AAATCCTACTGGTGTATGAATCTGGACGCACGTTAGGCGAAAGCCTGTTTTCGTCCTAGAAACCTGACTTGACTTGACTTGACGTGATGCTGGAGAGATGAAATGATACTGTTCGGCTTCCGAAAATCGTGAGTAGCGATAGAGGAAATCAGCCTGCTGGATTGTCTTTCCTGGACGATGATAGATGTCATAATTGTATGCGGCTAGAGCGATACTCCACCTCTGTAGCATAGCAGCAGTGGACTTCGCAATGGATTTGTTGGGATTGAACACAAACTGTAGCACTTGATGATCAGTGATGATGGTATGATAATGAGTATAAAAGCCCAAGTAGTGTGATAGAAATCCCATGATGAAAGTCTTTCAAGACTGCTGCATCAAATCTCCCATCTTGACTAAACCCACCGCAACTTTAAAGCTTCCACTAAACATCTCTGTCACTCTGCGCTCTGGTTTTTCACATTTTGCCTCCGGGGCATCTAAATGTGCATGCATTTATCTTTTCGCTCAACGATGTTCACACTGTCCTCGTAGTCGCTATCTTTCCCCTCCTTCCTCATCAGCTGGGTTTACACCCCAGGCTGCCTAGTATTTTCCGTCTTTGCAGATTTAGATGTCGTCGGCCTGCCGACGGCTTGGGTCTAAATCCACAATGGACAATCTGGCTCCGGCAATGGTTATTGGGCGCGGCCGTCTCCACCGCTTTGAATACATGCGTCCGCGTTCCGGACCAGGTTGAGGATCACGCTCCCTGCCTCACCTTAAACGTGTTTTAAGGTTAAGTGTCTAGCACGTAGTCAGTCCCACATCAAAGCGACCAACGCCTAAATTACATAAATAATATAAATAAGACAATCTTTCAACGGTGAAGTCCTGAAGCCCTTTGTCGCTTGTTCGCAGAAGACAATACAACTGTATGCATCCTTGAAACAATTTATTTATAATCCATTCGCAGCCAATTTGTATCACTGTGTAATTTCCAAAAGTGTACTACAATTCTTCATCCGAAAATGGATATATTTCACATTGACTTGTCTCATTCTGTCCTTGAAACCCATTTTCTGTGTATTCATTCCCGAGCCGATTTATTTCACTTCCAATTCTGTGTTTGCAAAGTGTCCCTCATAAGACAGTCGTCTGTATTTATATGCACTCTACAACTGACCATTCTCAGTACTCCATTTCATAACATTGTCCAGTTTGTGTCTCTTTTCGCCGCAGAGCCTTGTTTTCGCTCGAATCATTTGACTAA